CTCCCCATGACCAACAGAACATACTGGAAAAGTTTGGGGGATACTGACCTTGATTTATGGGAGTTATAATGGGGATAATAAATGCTTTCAGTGATGAATAAGGAATTGCTTTTGATAGTTCCCAAAAATGAATTACTTTGTATTGCCGAAGGCCTTTCACGGCTGGAATTACTGCGGTGTTGTATGGTTTTCCAGGCTGTGTAGCCGGGTTCAAATCCGGAAAATCACACAACACCCCAGGAATGACTTTGCATTGTAAAACCTTGGCTAAACATCACACTATGCTACACGGCAATCTGTTAAAACCTTTTCTGTTGTGACTTTAAAAAGAATGTTAAATTTATTCATCAATGCGCTTGTTGATATTGTGTTGGCTAACTCATCCGTTTGCTCTGCTTGGTAGGAAGCCTATGGGTTTAACGTGGATTCTCCAGAATTAAATTGCAAAATATTGAAAGAAGAAGCGGAGTTGCGCCCTGAGGATTTTGCAATCCCACCATGAGCGAGGAGCTCAATGTCCCGGCGGAGCCGCCTGCATCTGCCTGCTGTGCGGAGCCGGCCGCCAAAGGCATGGACTATCGGGACTGGGTCCGACGCAGCTACCTGGAGCTGGTGACCTCCAACCATCATTCAGTCCAGGCCCTGTCCTGGCGCAAGCTGTATCTCAGCCGTGCCAAACTCAAGGCCTCCAGCCGCACCTCCGCCCTGCTCTCCGGATTCGCCATGGTAGGTTTCTCCCCTTTAGCCCCACAGGAGGCCAAGGTGTTTTAGATGCATTTACTCTTGATATTTCGACAATTGGCATCTCCAGATGATCTTAGAAGGGATCCCGTCGGGTCCGCTGGCTTTGTACAAGACACTACACTTGGGAGGAAAGAATCCTTGTTTGTTCAACAAGTGTAAGGGGTGCCATTAGCAAGCTTGATCTGTGTTTGTTGAGTGGGATCCACCCATTAGTATGTGAATCACCACTTGGGAGGAAATAATAATAATAATAATAATAATAATAATAATAATAATAATACAATGCCTGACCAGCAGTGGGGTTCTTTCTCTTCCAGGTGGCCATGGTGGAGGTGCAGCTGGAGATGCAGTACCAGTACCCACCTTTGCTGCTGATCGCTTTCAGCGCCTGCACCACAATCCTGGTGGCAGTCCACCTCTTCGCCCTCCTGATCAGCACCTGCATCTTGCCCAACGTGGAGGCGGTCAGCAACATCCACAACCTGAACTCCATCAGTGAGTCCCCCCACGAGCGCATGCACCCGTACATCGAGCTGGCCTGGGGCTTCTCCACTGTTCTGGGCATCCTCCTCTTCCTGGCTGAGGTGGTGCTGCTCTGCTGGATCAAGTTCCTGCCCGTCGACGCCGTGGTGCCGAGCAGCAGCAGCAATGACACCGTCTCCGTTCAACAGGCTGGGCAGCACACTGGGTGGCAGGCCGCCCTCATCTCCACCATCATAATGGTACCGGTGGGCATCATCTTTGTCGTCTTCACCATCCACTTCTACCGGTCCCTTGTCCGGCACAAAACGGAGCGCCACAACCGGGAGATTGAGGAGCTGCACAAGTTGAAGGTGCAGCTGGATGGCCATGACAGGGGACTGCAGGTTGTGTGAGTGGCCGCTGCAGGCACATGTGTCCACATACTTGCTTGGCCATGCTGTTTCTGAAGTGTGTCTCCATGCACTCGCTCAGCTGAGACTCTTCCGAAGTGTGCCTGTGTACTCGCTTGGCCAAGCCTTTTTCGAAGTGTGCCCCGCGCACTCACTCGGCCGAGGCTTTTCCAAAATGTGTGTCCATGCACTCACTTGGCCAAGTGTTTTTCAAAGTGTGTCCACGCACTTGCTCAGCCAAGGCTTTTCCGAAGTGTGTGTCTGCGCACTCGCTCGGCCAAGAACGAGACACAGACGGCAGCTCTTTCCTACTCGCCAGTGTTCAGCGGTCTAGGCAGCCTCTTTCTCAGTTCGTCTTCATTGGTGGACAATATTTGTGGAAGATTTTGCCTCTCTCCGTATGATCATTTAAAGATGAGCTTAGAGTAGATCATTTAAAAATGAGCACAAGACCCAATGTATGGGTCTTGTGGTTGAAACAAAGGGTGGGTATATGTCACGAACTGCTGATCCCTAGGATGAAGCCTACTCATGTCCAGGGCCTGAAATAGATTGCTTCATTCTCGATCATTACAGTTACTTCTGAGCCTTTGGCGCAAAAAGCATGACTGCGTCCTCAAGCAAAGTTGCTGCTCCTTCTCATCCTGGTCCCCCTTTGTTTGTTACTGAGTCACTAAGTCCTCTGCTTTAGAGCTATCTACATAACAACGCCTCAAATGCTATGGCTTCCTCTCCTTTCTCAGCCTTGTTGTCTCGGAGAGAACCATGACATTATGCTCCTATGTGGTGGGAATATCCAAAGGTAACAACAGCCTTTGGGGGCAAAAATATTGAAGAAAATGGGGAAAAAACTATTTAAATTATCACTTCGAGTGAACATGGATTTGATGCTAATGGTCGTTTTAGGTAACAACAAAGTAAAATGTCAGGAATGATTTAAAGAGATGATTTTATCAGGACAGGCAAGTAGCAGCATAACATTGGAAAGATGGCAAAACATGGATGATGGTAAGCTGGAATCACTAACCTAAGTACAATCTGATATTAGAGCATGTCTAGCTCAGGAGTGAATATTATGCAGAAATTAAGAAAATTGTGCTCATGGATGTATAGAAGTCATCGGTCCGGGCAATGGCTGGAGGGAATCAGAAAATTTTTAATAATAAAAAATTAATAAACATTTGTATTAATAAACATAATAAAAGAACAAGGAGAGATAGTTGATAGCCCTTTCCTACTTGCTAGCATCCGATGGAAGTCTCGACAGCTTTTCTCTGATCTGATTTTTATCTATGGACACATTGCCATTTGTGAAAACCTTCCTCTCTGTTCAAATGTGAACTTTATTCTCGCAATTTCTAAGTAATGCTGAAGGAGTATGTTTTGGTTGCGACTGGTTGTATTGTTATTTAGCTATCTGAGCCAAGGCGTTCTTCTTCTTGTCCATGTCGGTTCGGCTGATTTCTTTGTTTCTGCATTTCATTCGGCCTCTGTTTGTTTGAGTATTTATCATTGAGAGACAAAAATAATTTACTTGTTCTGTGCAATGGGGAGCCTTTGGGAGGACGAGAAGCAATCCATGCAAAGGACTTTTAAAAAGACCAATGTTGTATTTCACATGCAAAGGAACACGATAGAAAGGACGACGTAGCCAAATTGTATGCATGGTTCTAGCTGGGAAATGTAAAAACTAGAGTAAGGGCACATCGTGTACTCGGAAAGCAAAACGAAAGGATTTGTTACAACACATAAGTTTATTACACTGTCAAATATTCAAACAACCACTTGTGTGCGAGTGGAAATACACATACGTGTATAAGGTCACATGAGACAGGATGAGAAATGCTTTGGACACTGATCCCGTTGTGACATCGACAGGTACAAGGTCAGCCGTTCTCAAAAACGGCTGACCTTGTACCTGTCGATGTCACACTATGTAATGGAATTTGAAATAATGTTCTGTTCCACGTCTGAAAGTATTATTTCCTGTTTAATTGTGCAGAACTTAATTCGAAAGTAGTTGTTCTACTCCAATAACTTTGTTTTCGAGGCTGCCATAAACTAGGTTGAATTGAAAAACTAGTGCAAAGTGTGCTATAACGGGACGATGTCCCTCCTGGAGAAACAAAAGTTTTGGCAGTTTAATCAACTTTCCCCATGTTTTTATGACAGAACTCATTAGGAAATGGCATTTATAACCCAGGAACAAAAGCTGTGTCACATCATGTTATTGCCAGAGTTGCAAATAGGAGAAAGCAGCACTTAACCTTGCGGTTAAAATCCTTAAATTATTAATCTTTATAGAGGTAATACGTACCTAATGACTATACCTCACTCCCTTATTTGTGCTCCATTGCCTGCAGGATAAAATAATAATTATAGTGTCAACTAGTAAGTGTATTGTATTTGCATTTAACTCCTCTCTTGATTCTCATTAGTTGTTTGAAGTTGCCTAAACTGCCAGTTAGTTATTAAACTTTTCTAAGCAATGATTGTACTGTTTCTTTTTTTAAAAAAATCCCTTTATATAGAATCATCGAGTTGGAAGAGACCTGGTGGGCCATCCACTCCAACCTCCTACCAAGAAGCAGGAAAATCACATTCAGAGCACCCCCGATAGATGGCCATCCAGCCTGTTTAAAAGCCTCCAAAGGAGCCGCCACCAGAGAATTTACCCGTCTGCTTTTATGATAATAACAATAATAATTATCATTATTATTACTATCACTACGCCCACCTAAAAGTCCAAGCCAAGTTCCCCTCAATTGCACAATATTGGAAATTCCACAGGTAAAGGTAAAGGTTTTCCCCTGACATTAAGTCCAGTTGTGTCCGACCCTGGGGGTTGGTGCTAATCTCCATTTCTAAGCCGAAGAGCTGGCATTGTCCGCAGACACCTCCAAGGTCATGTGGCCGGCATGACTGCATGGAGCGCTGTTAAAGGTAAAGGTAAAGGTAGTCCCCTGACATTAAGTCCAGTCATGTCTGACTCTGGGGTGTGGTGCTCATCTCCATTTCTAAGCCGAAGAGCCAGCGTTGTCCGTAGACACCTCCAAGGTCATGTGGCCGCATGACTGCATGGAGCGCCGTTACCTCCCGCCGGAGCGGTACCTATTGATCTACTCACATTTGCATGTTTTCGAACTGCTAGGTTGGCAGAAGCTAGGGCTGACAGCGGAAGCTCACGCCGCTCCCCGGAATCGAACCTGCGACCTTTCGATCAACAAGCTCAGCAGCTCAGTGCTTTAACCACTGCGCCACCGGGAGCGCTGTTACCTTTCCCATAATCAATTGCAAATTCCAGTGCACCATAACATTATTGCAAAGATAAAAATGATGTCACCTCCGTTTGGAAAATGTGAATCTCCATGAATATAGAGACCACGTGAATACAAACGAGCGCCCTCCAAATCTCCAGAATCTTCCTGAAAACAAAACAAGGGGCACCCAAAATATGAAACAAAAACAAAACGGAGTAGCACACCCCTACTTCCTGTCCCCCCCCCCTTTGTCTACTTCTCCCCCCCCCAGTAAGCGTTGAAACAAGCAAGAATCTCATTCCTTTCTCTAAAAAGCTTAGACAGGCCTTCCTTGGAAGGTCAGCGCCGTTTCCAGGAGTTTTCCCCCTACTTCTTCCTGCTTTCCTCCGGGACTGAACTCTGCGGATAATTCTCGGAATGTCATGCAGACACGGCGGCTTGTAATATGGTCGCGATGAATGCCGTGTTTCCACTGGTGGCGGGCCAGGCCGTATAAAACCAACAGCGATCTCTGGGGCAAGCGAATCTCAACAGAGACCTCTCTGAATGGCACTGATTTCGTGGCCAAAGAAGGGTCGGCTTCCTGCTCTGTGGTGCTTCTAAAGTCTTCAAGCGTGTGGTGTTGACGATCCTGGACATCATCGAGGGAACCAGAGCTGTGTGTTTGTTCGTTTTGGAGGAGGAGTAACGGGAGAAGATCGTCCGAGTCGCAAGACATGGAAAGCACGGTCGTGGAAAGCAGGTTTAAGCTAACCAGGCGTTCTCCCCAGAGCCAGCAGTCATCCCAATGAGGGTCGATGGAGGATCCCCTCTCGGGGCCATAATCCAAGTTGCACTGCTCAACAGGGGAAAAGCCCTTGAGCACGGAGAGAGCTCGCATCCGCTCCACAATTTCCTGGCTGCAGCTGGGCAGCCCGGTAAAACCTCCCGCTTTCAACTTTTGCTTCTTGAAGTTCACTTTCGGGCCATAGTCCTATGGAAAGAGGAAGGAGGAAAGGTACTTTTCACTTGGATTCGTGGAGCAATGATAAAAGAGTTTGAACTCTGACATCAATCAATAACAACAACAATGACAATAATAATAATAACAAGTGGCATTAAAGAAAGGGAAAATTACACACAGCGAGGGCATAGAGATGCCAAACGGACAAACCATAAAGTGCAATCAGCCTGAAGCCTATAAATATCTGGGCATACTACAGTTGGACAATATCAAGCATGGGCAAGTGAAAAATGTGGTCAGCAAAGAATATATCCAAAGAGTCAGAAAGGTTTTGAAGAGCAAATTAAATGGCAGAAATACAATCAAGGCTCTCAACACCTGGGCCATCCCGTCATTAGATACCTCACTGGGATTGTGAGCGGGACACAAGCAGAGCTGGTTGATCTGGACAGAAAAACAAGAAAACTGATGACAATCCACTCCTCATGACACCCGCATAGTGATGTCGACAGACTTGACCTGCCTAGAAAATCAGGAGGCAGAGAAAGGGCTTCTGCAAGTGAAACAAACGGTAGAAGAAGAAAAACATGCCCTGGCAGATGATGGGAAAGGCAGTCAAGAACCAACATTGAGGGAAGTCAATAGTAGTAAACTGCTTAAAGTGCAAAAGACAAAGAGTGAATACCGTAAAAACACAATCCAGAGCAGAAGAGAAAACTGGCAAAAGAAGGCTCTCCATGGACAGTTCCTGGGAAAATTGAGAGCCAAATTGACAGAAAAAAAACATGGCTGTGGCTCACAAATGGAACTCTGAAAAAGGAGACGGAGGGCCTGATTCTGGCAGCCCAAGAACAAGCCATTAGAACCAATGCCATCAAAGCCAGAATTGAAAAGTCGACGACAGATCCCAAATGTAGACTCTGCAAGGAAGCAGATGAAACAATAGATCACATCCTCAGCTGCTGCAAGAAGATCGCGCAGACAGACTACAAGCAGAGGCACAACACCGTTGCTCAGATTCATTGAAACTTGTGCCACAAATGCCATCTGCCTGTGACAAAGAACTGGTGGGATCACAAGCCGGAAAGAGTTACAGAGAATGAACACGGCAAACTCCTCTGGGACTTCTGGATTCAGACAGACAGAGTTTTGGAGCATAATACTCCTGACCTCACAATCGTGTTAAAAAACAAAGTATGAATTGTTGATGTTGCAATCCCAGGTGACAGCAGGATTGAAGAGAAACAACTGGAAAAGCTGACACTATATGAGGATTTAAAGATCGAACTGCAAAGACTCTGGCACAAGCCAGTCAAGGTGGTCCCAGTGGTGATCGGCACACTGGGTGCAGTGCCTAAAGACCTTGGCCTGCACTTAAACACAATTGGCACTTACAAAATTACCATCTGCCAGCTGCAGAAGGCCACCTTACTGGGATCTGCACGCATTATTCGCCGATACATCACACAGTCCTAGACACTTGGGAAGTGTCCGGTGTGATCCAATTCAACAGCCAGCAGAGTGTCTGCTGTGGACTCATCTTGTTGTGTTTCAAATAATAATAATAATAATAACTTTATTCTCATACCCCGCCACAGAATTGCAAGAAGAAAATGGGGTATACATAAACATAAAGTTAACAATAATAATAATAATGCCAATAGCTACTATTACAAGAGGAATGAGGAATTACAAGAGGAAAGTGGGAGATACAATTACCAGAGGAATGAAGAGCGGCAAGAAGAAAGTGGGGTATACATAAACATAACAATAATAATGCCAATAGCTGCTATTACAGGACGAATGAGGAATTGCAAGAGGAAAGCGGGGTATACATAAACATAATAATAATGCCAATAGCTACTGTTACAAGAGGAATGAGGAATTGCAAGAGGAAACTGAGATATACATAAACATAAACATAATAATAATGGTTTTCTAATGTAAGGAAGCGTAATCCCACCTAAATGGGATTACCAAAATTAAGTAAATATGTATGTTGATCCACCTAATTTCAGCATAAATTATAAGGAAGTCCCAATACTGCTTGATTACACTGCCACCATTATATATATAAAGAGATGTTGGAATTGAAGTCTCTGTTCATCCCTATCTGCGTTGTGAGGAAACTTTGGTAGAGTGGATTGCACCAAATGTAAAATCAATGGAGGAGGCAGATTTATAACACAGAGAGAACAAGTTTATTGTTAACAGAGCGTAATTGTTGCAATACTAAGATGTTGAACTTGGCACAAGCTTGATGGTTACAATATGGCTTGGTAGAGATACATTCAGGCTTCTGATGTTACAATCCTTTAAACTCCTTCTTCAGTGAAGTACTTTATTATTTCAGTATTCCCTGTTGTGAATATTCACTCTGTTTGTCCTATACCGGATCAAACCACCGATCTCCAGTCTTTCACTACTGGGATCCCTAAAACCCCCTTTGTTAGATTCTTTTTAACACAAGCAATCTAACAAGGTTTCACCTTCAGCTCCCTTGCTGAAGAAATTTTCACAAATGCTAAGAACTAACTGAATTTATACTGCTTCACCACACAGAGCCCTAACTGACTCCCTCCTCTTCTCAGGGTCTCATCCTCCTGACTGACTCTTAACTGTTACTTTCAAACCTTTATCTCCTTAAGCTCCGCCCACCTTCTCTTCTGCCTTGTCACCATGGCAACCTATCTCTCACAGCTAGGCCATGGCCACGCATGTAAAACATAAATACAGTTTAAACACAGTACATTAAACCCTTTATAATAAACACTTCTCTACAGCTACTATTAGCAGAGGAATGAGGAATTGCAAGAGGAAAGCAGTGTATACATAAACATAATGTTGTTATTATTATTATTATTATTATTAATAATAATAATAATAATGCCAATAGCAACTATGACAACTATGACAAGCAAGCTTGGGAAAACTTGGGATTAGGTGGCCTTTGAAGTCTCTTCCAACTTTGAGTCTGATATCATGATAACAACAATCATCTCTTTGCTCCAGGTGAGTGACATCATAATTAAAACACATAAACATTGTAAGAAATTATAAATATACACATATTAGAATGTATTTCTATAAAAGACACATATTAAAATGTACTTCTATAAAATGCATATTAAAATACAGTGGACAGACTAAAACACAGGACACGAGTTTAAAATTCAAGATGTTATTCGATCTGCTGACAAAACGACAAGAGAGGGAAAACAATGCTACCATTACCAGGTTCTGCAGCAATGCTGTCTCCTTACACAAGATGTCGCAGGCAATTAACCCAATTATTTTACGTTTTACTTTGAAATCAAGATGCAGACAATGTTCTTGGAGACGATAAACATCTACAGTATCAGGTCCTTGCATGTGCGTCACAGCAAACAACACCTTAGCAAAAACATTCCCTTCTGTGCAAAACATTTTTTCCCTTGAGGATGCCATCTATTACACAAGAGATATTATTTCATTAAAGATGGTTGCTTTATTTGGAATGCCTGTAAAGTTGAGTTTTCTATAAAACCATGTAACAAAATTGGAAAAATGTCCTGTTCCTGGTTTGAAAGTGTTATTTCTTGCCGTCCTGACTTTGAAAGGAGTCGTTCTGCTCCAGAAACTTTGTTTTTGTGGCCGCCACAAACTAGGTTGTATTGGTTGAGAGCCTATTATGAGTTATGTAGTGAAAAACGATATCGCAAAATGTGCTGTAAGAGGTCTCTCCCGCAAAGACAATATTTTTGCAGTTTTAATAAACTTTTCCCCATGTTTTTATGATAGAACCAATTAGGGGATAATTACATTTATAGCTCAGGAACAAGACCCATGTTACATAGTGTAATATAATTATAATAACATAATACAATAATAATATAGTATAATAATAAAAAATAATAAATTTAATTATAACACAATATATTATAATATTATAAATACTATAATATACTATATACTATAATATACTATAATATACTATAATAAAATATAGTTCTAATATAATTATACAATTATAATATTATAATACTAAATATAATTATAATATAATTTTTCCTTTATTCCTTTATCCGATTTGTCGTTGATCCATCCCTTCATGCGAATCTACCATTTGTTAAAATATATGATCCTGTGTTATTCTTTTCAATTTCTGGCCAAATAGTTTGATTTCGGATAATATTTTGATATTATAATCCTAATCCGGTGGCGCAGTGGGTTAAACCCTTGTACCGGCAGGACTGGAGACCAACAGGTCTCAGGTTTGAATCCGGGGAGAGGCGGATGAGCTCCCTCTATCAGCTTCAGCTCCCCATGCGGGGTCATGAGAGAAGCCTCCCACAAGGATGATAAAAACATCAAATCATCCGGGCATCCCCGGGGCAACGTCTTTGCAGACGGCCAATTCTCTCACACCAGAAGCGACTTGCAGTTTCTCAAGTTTCTCAAGTCGCTCCTGACACGACCAAAAATCCTAATAATATAATATAATGTGCTATAGCAAGATGCCCCTCCCACAAAAAGCTAAGTTTTTGTAGCTTAATAAACTTTTCCCCATGTTTTTATGAGAGAAGCAATTAGGAAATAATGACATTTATAACCCAAATAAGGCAAGACATCCACCAGCGAATGAACGTACAAGTTTTCATGGATGTTACAATTTTAAAGGATGGTCCCTAGATAGTGGAAACATTCAATGAGAAGACCAGACCTGCTTTTTTCGGCCAGACTGCGACAGCTTCCAAGGGTTTTGGTCCATAAGAGCAAGCATGTGCCGTTCTTCCTCTGCGGTGATGAAGTCTTCCAGCAAAAACACTCCCGGAAACGGGAAGGCCCAGCCAGCAAACTCGGAAGGCTTTTCTCCCACAGCCAAGCCAGTTGTTGGACAGTAAACAAAGTTTACATTTTTCTATTGAGACAAGAAAAGGGGAAAGGATCACAATCGTCTTGTCGTTTGCATTTGCAATTTGGATACTCAAGCTCAGAAATCGGTCATCACATTATTGCGGGGAGTAGGATGGTAACCCAGAAGGCTTCCCCATTAGGTTTAATAAAAAACCGCAGTGGTCGGGTGAGAAATTGTCTGGGAGAGTCTACAAACATGGATTGTAAAAAATGATAACGCTGAGTGATTTTGATTAGATCACTAAGAGAGTTTTTGAAATGGCCAAATTTAACAAATTAAATTTGGCTCTAATATTCGAGACATGGACATTTGACTTTTAGTCAAACAAATATATATGTAAGGACTAGGAAAAATGGGAACTCAAGAGTTGTGGAATGGAATATATGTATGTAACTATTTTGTATTAGGCACCCACCCAAAATTACCTCTCCGAACGCATCTCCTCCTATGAACCAACTAGGACATTAAGATCATCTGGGGAGGCCTTCTCTCAGTCCCGCCTGACGGGAACAAGAGACAGGGCCTTCTCAGTGGTGGCCCCTTGGCTGTGGAACGCCCTTCCTATAGATATCAGATTGGCCCCCTCCCTATTGGCGTTTCAGAGGAAAGTGAAGACCTGGCTGTTCGAACAAGCATTCAATTAAGCAGTGTAATGGATATAGGAACACAGATTAACGGATGATGAGATTGGATTTTGATTTTACTGATGAGACGCTAATGATTGTTACATTGATGTTTAATTGTTGATGATGCTATTGTTTGAACTGTCCCATAATCGTTTATGATGTTTTGCATTGAATTTTGCTGTTGCTAACCGCTTTGAGTCGCCTGAGGGCTGAGAAAAGCGGTATATAAATGAAGTAAGTAAGTAAGTAAGTAAATAAATAAAATTCAAGAAAATTTGAATAATGGATAAGATTGGGATATTATTATTATTATTATTATTATTATTATTATGTGTATTTATGACTGCTGCATGGCGCAAATCCTAATTTTGGAGAGGTAATTTAGCTAAACCAGATGAGCGTTAGATTTGAGTAAATAGAGTTGTTGTTGTTATTATTATTATTTGAAACACAACAAGATGAGTCCACAGCAGACACTCTGCTGGCTGTTGTATTGGATCACACGTCTAGGACTGTGGGATGTATCGGCAAATAATGCGTGCAGATCCCAGTAAGGTGGCCTTTTGCAGCTGGCAGATGGTAATTTTGATTGTGTTTAAATGCAGGCCAAGATCTTTAGGCACTGCACCCAGTGTGCCGATCACCACTGGGACCATCTTGACTGGCCTGTTTCCTGAGTCTTTGCAGTTCGATCATTAAATCCTCATATCGTGTCAGCTTTTCCAATTGTTTCTCTTCGATCCTGCTGTCACCTGGGATTGCAACATCGACAATCCACACTTAATTTTTAACACGATCGTGAGGTCAGGATTATTATTATCATTATTATTATTATTATTATTATTATTATTATTATTATTATTATTTATACCAGCCTGTTTCTCTCCAGAAGGATACTCAAAGCAGCTATGCATCTATTATTAGTATTAGAATGTATTATTATTATTATTATTATTATTATTAGCTGTCCTCTGCCACGCGTTACTGTGGCTCAGTCTGTGTATATGTGTTTTGTGTGTGTATATATTTGTGTATATGTGTGTTTGCATATATATGTGTGTGTGTCTGGTTTTGCGCATGTGTTGTAATGTAATATTTGTTTTTTGGCCTTTGAAGTCCCTTCCACTATGTTTTTCAGTGTTTTTATGAGTGATGATCACTTGTTGGCCTGATAGTTGTGTAGTGTCCAAAATTGGTGTCAATTCGTCCAGTGGTTTTTGATTTGTTAATCCCACAAACCAACATTATATTTTTATTTATATAGATAATATAATATATACATGTACATATAAATTATATTATAGATGGTATATTTTCTTATATAATTGTTTTAATTTGCTTTTAATTCCAGTATCTCAGTATCAAGTCAATGCATACTTGATGGGGGCTTATCTCCTGCTGAACCCTTAATAACCGTTAAGGCTATTAA